TTGATTAATTTCGTATTCTTTCGTTTGAAAAATACATCATCAGTTGTGCCAAAAGTCACACAAGATATAAAAGAAGCAGCTAAAGAACATGTACGAGAATTACGTCGTGAATTTGATAAGCCAATTAAATTTTCAACTAGTCGTGCTAAATATTGGGATACAGCTGATTCAATAGTTTTTAATCGTCATATTGGAAAATTTACACGACCAGTATTAATTGGTACTATTTTAATTAATATGGTTTGTTAATATTTTAAAAGAAATATGAGTGAACCTTTTTTATTTTTAGTTCTATTGGGGTTATTATCGAGAAGAAAATGATATTGATGAAATGCTTGATATGGAACCATGGCAAGTATTTCCTCGATTAAATCTAGAATATCTTAAAACAGCTGAAAGACAATATCGTGAAGCTGGTCTTGATACAAATCAAATAGAAGTCAAGAAGAAAATGATTCAAGATATGTTTCAACCACAATTAAACGAAGAAATTCGTGTGAAAAACAATCAAATAAATAAATAAATAAAATTATATTATTTTCTTTTTTGTAACTAGATTTATAAAAAGAAATCTTTAAAAGAAATCGACTAGGTTTTTTTAAAATTATTTATAATATTTGAGTAATGTACAAAGAATTATTAATCATTACTGGAAAGAAACCTCTTAAAATAATGAGTGGCTCATAATAAACGGAACAAAAATATTTTCCTCTTTTTAAGATACTTCTCAACCCAGGAAGAAGTAAAACGGTTAAAATGCCATTTATACGATCATATTCGCTCGTTCTACTTGAAAAACGATGGTCAACGGCAAAAAAGTGTTCATCACTTTTCTTGACGTTTCGAATCATGATTGATATTGTATGAGCGTTTAAACGTTTTATCTAAGTCAATGTCTTCGACATGAATAGTGATAAACATTTATAATCATGATAGTTTTTACACTGAAAACTAATATAAATACTCATATTAGTTTAACTCTTTTCTTGTTAGGATTGTAGTTCTATTCATTACTTGCAATCTTGTGAATTTGTGCTTTGTATTGTACTAGAGCACACGTGAAAGGAAAGTTAAATCGCTTGAGGCTTTCATTTGTCACTTTCATCTAATGAATTATTAAAAAGAAAAATTTATTCACTATATTTTTATTTATATAAAAAGACTGTTTTCCTTTCATACAAGCAAGAATCCATGTATCGTTTATATGACACCAATCAATCATGCTCAACCGTTATTAATCAAAACGGATATCACTTATATTCTGTTTTCCGTCAGTAAACGGTGAAAAAACGACAACTTTACGACAGTAAACTAATTGTATTTTCTCGTAATTCCGAACAAATGATACGACACCGTATACTATCGTATATGTACCGTAATCTCACTACGACATAGTCGTAGTTCTGCATCAATTATTATGATGGTATACAGGCTGTTTACATATCGTATTTTCACCATAAACGGCTGTATACGGACCTTATTTTTGACTTGGAAAGTATTTGTATGAAAATTAAGATATCGAAAAATACTTATAATGAGT